TGGTCAGGAATGAATGCAATCATTACTGATAGAATAGGGCTATTATATGTATAATGTAAATGCATTGCTAATGATTTTACTATAGAAATGCATTAAAAATCCGGAAGAAAGGGATTGTCAGTGGTCAGGAATGAATGCAATCATTACTGATAGAATAATAGCTATTATATGTATAATGTAAATGCATTGCTAATGATTTTACTATAGAAATGCATTAAAAATCCGGAAGAAAATTATGATTGTCAGTGGTCAGGAATGACTGCAATCATTACTGATAGAATAGGGCTATTATATGTATAATGTAAATGCATTGCTAATGATTTTACTATAGGAATGCATTGAAAATCAGGAAGAAAGGGATTGTCAGTGGTCAGGAATGAATAAAAGCATTACTGATAGAATAGGGCTATTATATGTATAATGTAAATGCATTGCTAATGATTTTACTAAAGGAATGCATTGAAAATCAGGAAGAAAGGAATTGTAAGTGGTCAGGAATGAATGCAAGCATTACTGATAGAATAGGGCCATTATATGCATAATGTAAATGCATTGCTAATGATTTTACTATAGGAATGCATTGACAATCAGGAAGAAAGGGATTGTCAGTGGTCAGGAATGAATGCAATCATTACTGATAGAATAGGGCTATTATATGTATAAAGTAAATGCATTGCTAATGATTTTACTATAGGAATGCATTGAAAATCAGGAAGAAAGGGATTGTCAGTGGTCAGGAATGAATGCAAGCATTACTGATAGAATAGGGCTATTATATGTATAAAGTAAATGCATTGCTAATGATTTTACTATAGGAATGCATTGAAAATCAGGAAGAAAGGGATTGTCAGTGGTCAGGAATGAATGCAATCATTACTGATAGAATAGGGCTATTATATGTATAAAGTAAATGCATTGCTAATGATTTTACTATAGGAATGCATTGAAAATCAGGAAGAAAGGGATTCTCAGTGGTCAGGAATGAATACAAGCATTACTGATAGAATAGGGCTATTATATGTATAATGTAAATGCATTGCTAATGATTTTACTATAGGAATGCATTGAAAATCAGGAAGAAATGGATTGTCAGTGGTCAGGAATGAATGCAAGCATTACTGATAGAATATGGTTATTTTAGGTTTAATATATTGGTAAAAATAAACAGCGCCTGTAATCCACATATTCTCTGTATTATTATAAAAATGATTGTTTTTGTTTTAGTCTGAGCATATCTGGAAACGCTATGAATTTTCACAAGACTGGGCAACTCAATGCTATAAATCATGAGCCATTTTTGGTAGGTTACTGGGTGTGAATAAAATCGAGACCAACCTTCATTCGCTCCTGCTTCTCCCCACCAAAAGAGATATAAAATAGGATAAAACAATGAAATAATATAAATAACAAATAAAATAGATGCCATGGAAGGATTTTCATACGTGGGCCTGTGACAGGAATGAAAAATAGCGACGCTATTTCGCCTCTTGTGAATATTTTTCGCTTTCTCGAGCAATAACATCGGTCACAGTGACTGGACAGCGCATGATTCTGGGGTGGGTCTAGGACCAGAGTCAATGTCGATATCGGTGTCTGAATTTAGCGGAGGCCATATTTATAGAAATATCCAAGTGGAACGAATAAGTTCCATATCGGAGATTTCCTGCGGTATTTCAAGGTGGAGTTTTCGATCCATTGCTGAATCAACAGAAATAAAAAAAAAAACAGAAAACCAAACTGCTAAACAATATCAATCTCTCTTTTTGTGAGCAGCGAAGTCGTTTTAAGCAAGATCGAAACAAAAGACATATAATGAGGAAAGAATGCTTGGAGAATTTGTCACTTACAGGGTACATTAAAAGCAATAAGGATAGAGGAATATCGCTACCTAACAGACTTATATAGGGTGACCCCAAAAAACGGGAACTTTTTACCAATCCAATAACACCAAGAGTGACGGAAGAAAAATATTTTATTCATAGTAATTGAAACCTTAAAACATGCCATTTAAGAAACAATGATGGAATTTTCATTTTTTTAAAATTACGTTCTGTAGATGGCGTCCTCCTGTACGAATGCATTCTTGAAATTTGCTGTTGAGATTGCTTATTGACTGCTGAAACATCTCAGCTGGGATACTGTGAATTTCATCTTGAATTCTCTGTTTTAACTCATTTAGAGTTCTTGGTTGAGTTGTGTAAACACAGTATCCCATTTAAAATTCTTATATTGGTGTTTGATAATTTGTATCATGCTTTTACATTTTTAATTCCATAACCTCATGCTATTCAAAATATAAAACACATAAATTAAACCCAAGATAATTTGAATATACAAAAAAAATCGTTCGTATTTACCTTTTAAAATCCCGCCGAAGATGAAACGCATCAACTTAAGATAAATTTTTTTTTTTTTGATATAAATATATATATATATATATATATATATATATATATATATATATATATATAAAATATATATATATATATATATATATATATATATATATATATATATATAAAATAAAATAAATATATATAAATGGAAGATGGTTATAATTGTTCCAACGAGAGAAAAGTGTGTATATTAAAAAGAAATCAGGAAACTATTAAACGTTTTTTGGTTGTAAAAGGATTCCAACTCCTAGACCGGTCATGTTCTACAACATTAAAGAGCCTAGTCAGCCCTAGTAGGCACTATTTTGCCCATAGCTGGGACCCTAACAGGTGCTATCACACCAGGTCACGGCGGACATCAAAACAACAGCAATTAAAAGGTGGATCTTCAAATCCTGCAGTCTCAATTCGATCAGAAGACTTACTGCCGTTTATGGTTATCGTCATACTCAGGACAAAAGCAGTATATATATATATATATATATATATATATATATATATATATATATCAGCTGCTGCACAATTCAATGAGAATCCTTCCCTT